TTTCTTGAATAAATAATTGCGGCACCACTGGAACACGGCATTGTGGAGTTTGTTGTGGAGCCTGCTTTGAAAATTAATAAAAATGTCATGGTGAAGAAAATTTCACATTTTCCATTTTTGACTCATTTCTCCGCTTTTCCTTTTCTTCAGCGATATTTCTCGTCTTTTCCTGTTCTTAAGTGTTACCCCCACTGTGGTGGATTTCAGCCGAGGAGAAGACCCTTTACGACTTGGGGCATAAAGGCCCATCTATGACTAATAGAGGTCTAATAGATCTAGGACTAATAGAGGTCGGTAGCACGACTTGCTCTCAAAGCAGAGGTTGCCCATCCGTGATCTACACAATGAAAAATGATTCTTATTTACGCGATCAGATGTCTTGCTAGAATTAGGTTGCTAATATCGTTATCTCAATATCTACGCTTCCAAGTAGCTTGTTGAATATCTCGCCATTCAAGGTATTTATCCCATTCTCACTATTCCGACTCACACAGATACATCACCGATATCTGAACGATGACTCATTGAAACCATGCAATACGAAGTACATCGACCGCTTAGCTATTCACTGATGTATGTCGCTAACACTCAAAAAAAGCAACGTCGGTCTGTACGTTGACTTGGTTCCATAAGTACGTAACTCATGACGTTGACGTGAGAATGTGATGCAACTGTCACTCAGAACGTCGACTTTATAACTTTAATACCTTTACTATTGCAGCCGAACTTCCCACCGAATGTTGGGGCTTGCATGGGGAGATTATCAATATTAGAGGTTCTCCACTCTTAAGGATACATCGAGCCAACAGTTTATTGTTTATGTAAATATCAAAGCTTATTACTTGAACCCTAGCAGAACAAGAAAAGAGAAATGTACGACTTAGGTTAGACTTGAATATTTCTGGCAGTTCAGACAAAAGTAATAGTTCTGTAAGAATTGGGGACATACTGAATTCGATGGGTTTCTCTTAACTCTTAACTGGTGTAAAAAATAAGAGTTGGATTTTGTAGTGATTGAATGGGTTGATGGCGTCACGAAGACGGTGGAGCGGGTGGGAACCGTCTTCTTGTAATTCTTAACGGTTGGAAGTGTTAAGAGTTACCGTTTTTGAATTAAATAAGATTGTTTATGAGTGCCAGCAAATGGGTAGCGGATGGCGTCCGTTTTTTCTGAACACTGAACACTTAGAAGAGGTAAGAGTCACCATTTTTGTATCAATTATGATTGTTTATTAATACCAGCGAGGAAGCAGTGGGTGGCGACCATTTCCTCTTAACTCTTCACTGTTTAAAGAGTTAAGAGTTACTGGCCACGTCACACTAACCTTTTACAACAATCAAGAATTTAGTGACCCCCCCCCCCCGTCGCTAATAAACAATGATACTTGATTCGAGAATGGCAACTCTTAACCCTTGCAATAGTTAACAGTTAAGAGAAAATGATCTCGAGCCCCTACCCTCTCGCTGGTATCAATAAACCATCATAATTGATACAAAAATGGCAACTTTTACCTCTTCTCATCGTTCAGAGTTGAGAGAAAACGGTCGCCATCCGCTACCTCCTCGCTGACATTCATAAACAATCATATTTAATGCAAAAACGGCAACTCTCAACCAAGTTCTAATAGAATCGGTTCACTGAGTTTGAAGATGGGGATGATGACGATATTCCATTTTTTCTAATTGGTTGGTGTCAGTTCTACACGGAGAGAAAAATACATCACTATTTCGTGTGAGTCCATTCAAAAATTAGTATGCTATTCACCAACCCATGGGACGAAACCGTGGTCAACAAAAAATTCGGATGTGGCGCCCCAATTTTTAAGGGAGCCTCACGGAAAAGTAGCGTAACTTCGTGAAAAACTAGGGTGCCACATCCGAATTTTTCGGGGGGCGTCATTCGAATTTTTTGTTGACCTCGGTTTCGTCCCATGTGTTGGTGAATAGCACACTAATTTGTGGTAGAATTTTTTCTCAGTGTACATGGAGAGAAAGATCCAATAACAATTACGTGCCTGTTCGATAATCTGTAAATTAAAATAATATTCATAAAAAATGACGGAACAGCTACACATTTTTACTGAACTTCCAGAAAACAGTACAGAATGTTCAGTGAAAAAGTGCGTCACTGTTCCGTAATTTTTATTGAATTTTTCTCACCGTGTATGTTGGTAGAGTAATGTGAGAGTGACACAACGTTGGTCCAAGATTGGCTAATGGTTAGTAATAATAAGATTAATTCCCAAATTCAATTGAATATCTGAAATAATGTTTATTTGAATATTTCAGAAAGGAAACTGTTCAACTATAGATGAAAAAAGTATTTTTCCTTGGAATCGGAAAATTGTGAAATTGAGATTAGTTTGAGTAAAAAAAATAACTCTCACAAACCGTTTCTGCGAATCGAGTCGTGGTTTACTATTGCAATTATTTTTTTAATATTATATGGAATGCATAAACATTTGGAAGCATGTTGCAAACTTGTTCGAAAAAATGACGCCATCATATGAAAATATAAGCAATATTCAACTTTTTCATGTATTCTGCTTCTTTTATTTCTAAGTCGTATAACACATATATGTGTGGACGTTTCCGGGCCAGGGGGTATGGTAATTATGAAAGAGATGGATGTGAGGTCAGCGCAATCGCGACCAGTTAGTAGATACACCTACGAGTTTGAAAGATTCACACTATCAAGAATATGAAAGACGATAACGCACGTCATCAGGCAATTCACAAGGCCAGACACTTTAAAACCGCAACTGAAATCATTGGACGAGTAGTATATTAAGTCGAAAGCAGACGATAATTTCAGATGGTTATTTTTTATGGTAGCTGCTCTCAGTACTGTAAACAATTTGGTGGGCACTTCTGGGATTTTCATTAGTTTTGAATTAACAGCAGACTTTTCCATTAAGTTTCATGTTAAACGGCGTAATCATAGCGCAAAGAGTTCATGGTAATAACGGAGTGAACTTTCTAAGACAACAATCGTCAATTTTATAGCAAATGCCAATTTTTTTTCACTTTTCGGGGATGCAGGAAAGCAATGCCGGACCAATATTCATTGAAGAGGGTCAACAATTCCGAAGATTAGACGGGGAACATAAATAGTAATTTCGGACATTATAAAGATGAGCTACAAGAGCCGAGACGCAGTACCCCAAGGCTCGAATAGAAAAAAATCCTAAGAAATCTTGGGGGTAAATGGAAAAAAAAATCAAAATTGAAGAAAAGTTGAATACAGAGATGTGGTAAATTATTGAAAGGGTCGCAAGGGGAATTCGAGTGAAGAGAAAAAATTATTCAATAGACTAATAGGCGAATTGCACGAAAGACCCGAGTTAATCTAAATGAGACTTAAATTACGCAACCCAGCTTGGAAATCCTTTCAACTAAAATAACAAGTGAACGAAAAAGAATTTATGCTATAATTGACTGGAATCACACGATTCTAACCTTACATCGCTCGGTAGAGTCGCGGAATCTGAGCCCAATTACATAAAATAGTATCGTGCTATGGTGTTTTTTGACTCGTGGAATTGTAATGTTCTAACATCCCACCAGCCAGAAAACCCATACCATACTTGTTGCGTAATATACTATTAAAAATTACCATAAAATATTTACTTTTATCAACAAAGTCCACTTTTACTCTTTAACAAGGGTTACCGATAATAAAAAGATACCTGTATTTAATATTTCTTTTTCCCATTTTTATTAGAACCAATTCATCACATACATAAATATTATGATATTTTAAACGGCATTTACATGTTCTTATTTTTTTCGCCATTATTGTGGAAAATTTGCAGTGTAATGATCCTTAAAAATTGGACAATCTGCCGTTATGATAAAAAGGAAAGGAGAACACATCAGCACCGTTTAAAATATCGTAATATTAACGTATGTAATAAATTGTTACTAATTCACCTGGGAGATCGGAATATTGAATATAGGCATTCTTTTATTCTTGCTAACCCATGTTAAGGTTGTTGTCGCGCGACAGTCTCTGTAAAAAGTTTATCCGCTGTAAAATGGGCCAGTTTAGAACACAATCTTTTAGCGGTATATAGTCTCACTTGATTGATTGCATTGTGCATGGATAGCTAAAGCATAATTATATATTTTCCATATTAACTATTTTCAATTATATAAATTTATGAATTTCCGATAATTATATTCCGTAAACCAAACGGTCAATCGATTTGATTTTTTTTTTCTGTATTTCCTCCCACGATGTATATTCCACGTTTTTTTTTATTTCTGAAACTGTCGAGCCGTTGATTTTTAAAAAAATCTAATCGGCAAAACTCCATTTAAACACGTGTTGAATCACTCAAATTTCAAAAATTTATATCTCAACTTCAAAACGGTCAATTGCAAACGGAAAAGGCTCATTTTGTTGCTAATTTTTCAAACTATTCACCATAAAATTTTTAACGAAAACTGTCGAAAAAAAATTCTACGCAACAACAACCTTAACCAGTGGTACTCGGTGTTTGTTAATAAGATTACATAATTCATGGTTATTTTCCAACTGATTTTCATTCACATTAAAATTGTCTATCCAAGAATTTGCCCGTAAACTTTTTTTCTTTGAAAACATTTCCGCATTGTGGAATTAGCGATATACTTCATGACTGAAAAAACCAATGATAAAAAACAGTGAAGTCATTATAAGGACGAAGTTATGGGTAAAAATAGTTATCGCAAAGCTCTGAGGGAGAAAACAAGTGACTGCCACGGTCAAAAGACGGAGATAAGTGCGGTTATGATGAGGAACATGTGGAGAGATGAACAAAGTAATCTGTAGGTCTCCGCAGTATTAATTTCCATCTCTAATTTAAAAATCCATTACCATTCTTATGGTTGTAGATCCCTTAATAAAGTTGCGTTCGTCAATGTGAATATCGCAACTACGTATGTAAATTAAGCCATTACGATACTTTAGTAATGAGGCGACGAATTTTTTTACAGTATATTTGAGGTGAGTGCCGCTGAATGGTGGGAGATCTAGTCGACCCTGGTTCTGTTTTTTATCGCCAGTCTTGGTTAATACTTAATCGTGTATTCAACGCGACAGGATTGATTTTGGGAAAAAGACCAACATTTGGACTGTTTCTAATTATTTTTTGTTTACTGTTGATTATTGTTATAAACACAAGTAATATATTCAAAATGTTCTCGATTAGTCAAGTATTAATACTCATTTTCATCGTTACGAAATCGTTATCCCGTAAGTAACTCCCGAAAATTTGTTCACTCTCATAAAATACAACCGAGACATCGAAATTTTTATATTAAACATCTAATTTTTGGGGGAAAATGATAGAAGTGAATAAGAGAACTCAATATCCGACGAGATTAGATGGTGAAATGAGTTTTCCGCGCAAATCCCTCATAATTCATAATATTCACAAATTGATAATCATATAATTAATAACGAGAGACACAGAAAAAACATTCACTTTGCTAGTGTTTTTCAATTAGTATTACTCCACCGCCGCAGGCATGTATTACGACAGAATAACAAAAAAGAAAAATCTCAAATAATTTGTTCTACGTGTCCTTGATTCCTACCTTTTATTCTGACTCTTCCATATCGTACAAGGAAATATCTTGAAACACAAGTTTGATAATGATTACTAAATAATTGCAGACATTATTATCTCTGGCTCGATTAATCTACTTGACATTTGTTGAAAATTACTTTTAGTACAGAGAGAAAACTACTCGAAACAATTTACCACGGCGTTTTGTAATCGTGCGGCGTACTAAATATTTAGCAATTTTTACCAATGGTAGGAGTGGAGAATGACTACGGGGAAAAATTTTAACTTTTCGCGCAATTATTACTTAGCGTTATGTATTTCTGGGAATTATTTTTTTAATTCGTATGACGGGAAATATTTAGTGAACCTTTTGTGCCTCTGTTGCCGAGTATTTTGGTTTAGTTTATTGTCAAATTTTTCTCTTAAGTGCACTTGATTCACATAGCCTCATTAATAACCATTGGTCACGATGTCACCGATGTTACGTTGCAAAAGGAAGTGATTTTCTTAGTTTGTTTAATGATTCTATTCACCACGCCTTCACGAAGCTGCGAAGATTAGCAAGTATCCTCATGACAATTCTTTTCATATCTATGAGTAGTAATTTCAATTTTCAGGCAATTAAAATCTTCGGCCGTTGTTTTGAATTTTTTTTTACAAATGATTGAACTTGATAAAAAGATATAACGTTTGGCCGTTTTCTGATATTCTGCTCATGTACGAAGTTTCATCACGCTAAGATAATTTTGCCGGGTAAATTTCCAACTTTTTGTGATTTGTCCATTAGACTACGGGTTAAATTATATTTTTTTTTAAATCATAACTTGGTTATCCGGTTTCAAAAAAATCTTAAATTTTTTAGATAGCTCGGTAAAAAGTTAGCAAATTTCAGGGAAAAAATTTAATCAATTTCTTACATTTTTCAATTTTTCGAAAAATGGATGTAATACATCCTTAATATGCTATGATGACACTGACGAGAAAATAGTGAGAAAAATTTCGTATAGAGGGGAAAGCCGCAATCCTTACGGATTAGAATTCAGAGAGACCATTTTTTTCCCCCACGGAATTATTCCAATGCAATATTATTTAGACTGGTCGTGAGAGACAACTTCATACCTGGCGCCCGCACTAGTAAGAAAACGACAACAAAACACTTCCCCACTCCCGACTACAGAGCCGAACGCTTGCAACTACTGTTGGATAGATCCGAACGAACTGGGTGGCGGAAAAAATATCCCCGGAAAAAATATCCCCCCAATCATACATTTAATTTCTGTCGCCCTTTTTTTGTGTACCTATTTTTCCAAAGGTGGGGGGGCGCAGAGGGGGGTCCAAGGGCGCAGCCCACATAACACATTAAATGAAAATTTGAGAAAAATAAAGATGATTTTAATTTCATGGGGAATTGAACCCTTAACCCTTTTATGTGTCATAATAAATAAAGAAATTTTTTTCTAAAATGCATTTTGTGATTGACCCGCTTCCTTTTTATCCTTTATATTAAATAATTTTTATTAATTAAATTATTAAAATTAGGATTTTGAAATATTTATTATTAGGAATTAAATATTAGAATTTTTCTTGAGGATATTTTTTCCGGGGATATTTTTCCCGGGGATATTTTTTCCGGCGATATTTTTTCAGGGAATATTTTTTCAGGGGATACTTTTTCCGGGATTTTTTTTCCGGGATATTTTTTCCGGGGATGTTTTTTCAGGGATTCGAACGAACTCTACTCTCCGCCTGCCTTTTTAAGCATCATAAGAAAAAGTCTCAGCGTCTTAGATCGTCTCCCATAAAAAATGTAACGTGAAATTTCCCCGGTGAATGGGAAATGCCCATTACCTTCGCCCTACTTCCCCTGAGCCTAACAAAAACCTGCTAAAATTTAACCTTACGGGCGCCAGGTAATTTTTGACCGGAATTACCAAACCGGAAAAAGTCCTTAATCCTAAACTTAACTAACCTCGATATTCGATTCACCGAAAATCGTAACTCAAACTCTTAAAACTCTAACCCTAAAACATACTCAAAAACCAAAAAGGGAACCTGAAGGGAACGGAAAGGATAATTAGGCTTTTGGGGAAAGGTGACGGTCCTGGGGTCGCTCAGTATGCCTGTTGTGGAGAGAGGGGTGGATTGTAGATGGGAACAAGGTCATGGCAAAATCGGGAAAAATATCAAAAAGAAAGGGAACGGGAGGCGAGAAATAAATTTATGCAACAAAACATGGTCCTTACGTGTTCCGCTATTCATGTAAAAAAAATTCAGTACAATAATAATAAATGAT